TTATCTCAAGCCAGTCTGCTTCTTTAAGCTGTTCCAGGCACTATCTGAAAGGTTGGGTGGAACCATGTTGAGGCATCATGGGTCTCATGAGCCAGCTGATCAGTCAATGAGAGTCACATTGTGCTTCTTTGAGGGAAGGTCCACAAATCGCGTGCCAATAAAGCGGTGGTAAAACCAGCGGTCAGCCTTTCTATAGAATGAAGACAGAGGTCAGCAGCTCTTGTGCTCTGCATACTGCAGAGGAGACCAAGGCTGTTGGTAGACTGTTACCCCCAGAGTCCCAAGATCATGGAGGGCCCTGATCAAAGGTAAATGAAGTAGGGGAGTGGGTTCACAGATTGACAGAGAACAAGGGCCAGGGGCTTCAGAAGAAACGGCAAGGGTAGCTCCCATGAGGCAGCACTCGAGTCACCCTTCTCCCGATATCCAGTCGCTCAGTCAGGCACTGAGCACTTTTGATCAAGGGTGCCTACCCAAGGTGACAAACTACCTGCAGGACAGCAGCTATTGGTGATGCCATATGAAGAGAGGCACATCTGAAGCTGGGATAATCCAGGGACCTCTCAGGTGGTCAGAGGCTCTCAAGTGGTCCTTAATTGACCATTTAAGGTGGGTCGCTTGGTGGTGGGAAGGTCAACCATGGATCTTCGAACAGAAAACCTCATTCTGGTGGAGGTAAGAAGAGATCAGGGTTTGGGTACATGACCACCCCACCTCCAAGTCTGCCACTGCTAGGTGATGATTCCACCCCATGATGGTTTTAATGGAATGAGGCAGCATATCTTAAGCAAAACCGACTGCAGGGCAATCTATGCACACAACATAATGATGCACTTAGCTTCTGCTGGTGGACACAAATTGACATTCCCACACAAGCTTTTCACCGGCTGAGAAGCCCCAAGCTAAATGTAAGAGATGGCCTGGAAATACACGGGCTGACTCCTTGATGTGACCATCAGTGATTAAGACCCCACAAACAGGATGCACATTCTATGGAATTGGACAGGAAAGTTTGCTGGCACTTTTAAAACTGATTTTGTAGGAGTGGAAATTCTATGATTTTTAAAAGTCCTGGTTCAAGCCCAATGCCTGCATGTCAAATTAATGAAATTAGCCAAGGCCGAGTGACAAATGCCCCAGTGGCTGTTTGCAGCACATTCACTGAGCACCTGCCTGAAGTGATGACCAAAGAGCTTCCATGCTGATTGATATACGAGCGTCTGATCTGTAATTATTGCACATTACTGTTTCTAACTTTGTAATGTTGAACTTGGTTCAAGTAACTAAAGCTGTTTTTATTTAAAAATCCTGAGAGAGTGGCTGGCAAGATCAGGTCTTGTTGGTCATCTCTTAATTGTCCTTCAAAGGGGATGAGTGAGCTTCCACTTGTTGCTGTTTCCTGCTGTTCAGCTATCCTTGAGAGTCACATCCAATTGCTTCACTTTTGCTGCCTCACAGCACTCAACATGATTTTACCACTAGGCTCCGCCCATGACCATCTTGGGTCTGACAGAAGTTATCTTGTGCCCGGCTCAGTAAGAGCACTTTTGCCAAAGAGAAGGAAGGTGGGAGAACTTGCAGCTTGTGTGACTGGAGGGAATCCTGGAACTGTTTCATCTCACGTCATCAAAGCTGCTTCAGGGCTGCAGTCACTACCTTCACTGCTCTAATATCATCAGTGTAGCTGTCAGTCAGGTATGTTACCTTCTGGAACCTGGTCACACTAGAGCTACCAAAGCTACAGTCACTCCAGTTACAGTCGCAATATTGAATGCTTATGCCATTCATGCCACCATTGTGACATGCATCAGATTATTTCTGATGTTGACCCATCAACTCATCAAGTAGGTCACTGAGCTTCGTTTACATTAATCAGAGGCAAAATCTTACCAGCTTAGTCCCTGGAGGACTGACAGGTTCAATTTTGTTTGGAATAGGCCTTGCAGTTGTTCTTTTCTGGAGCAAACTAATTAATACCCCACCTCTGCATGAAAAAAATCATGATGGAAGAGGGGCTAGTGCATTTAATGAAGCAATAAAGGCCCTCTACTGAAAAGGAATTGGTAAAAGTGTATAACATGACTTAATCAGTGAAAAACAGGAAAAAGGAAGAAAATGTCAGAGAAAAGTGGGTAAGCTTTGACCCAAAACCAACAGAGTGAGGAAATATTTTAATGAATAAAATATCTAGGAAATTAGTTACTTTTTTAAAGAATGTTTGAAACAGGATCAATTGTAATTAAGCTAAGAAGAATTACTGATCCTTATGATATGACAACCATTAACCTGGAAGCAGAATCAACCGAGCTAAAGTTAAGGTATGGACACTGTGTGGCCAAATAGAAAGAAGCTACAGGAGAGGGTGAATGGGGGAGGTATATTTATAAACAGCTGTGTGTAGTACCATTAAAAGATACAGGCAGTTGAAGACAGAGTTTCAGCAGGGATTGTGAGTTGGACTATTCCACTAATATGTTTCAATTTAGCAAGAGCTGACCAGACAATTGCATGAGATTTATTAAAGAGGTCAGATAAAGGAGTCACTGGGGAATCTATGTTCATCAAGACCACTCGCTCAGAAGGTTCTGCAGGTGTATGCCATTTGGGTGATGATGACCACCTTTGAGGAGCTCAGGAGGAGGGCAACTACTGTTGCAAGAGACTCGAGTACCAAATTCATTGAGTGAGAAAGGTGAAAGATTTGAAATGTCAAGATTTAGTTGGAAAGACTAAGAAATTACATGTGGTGCACATTTGTACAGGGAGTGATATAATTGCTTATAATCTCACAAGAAAACCTTTGTCATATCTGCTATTCCATGTGTAATTTATGGTTACTACGGATTATAAACAGGTCTGTTAATTAAGGTTTAATTTGCATTGATTCTAATTCAACCAGTAGTAAAGTTAGCAAAAGTGAAGTATTGTTGGTAATTTCTTCATTTTGGGGTTGTTCATTAAAGCTGGTTAATTTGGTTCAGTTTCCCCATGGAAAAGAATGGAAAGATAACCCTAGAACCCTGGAAGTGGTGCATGACATAGGCTGAAGTTGACTTTTTGGACAATTCCAGGAGTTGGTCAGACAGACAACCAGAATCACCAAACAGGCTTGTCGTGAGGCTGTTTAGGTTGTAAACAGTTGGTCCATGTTGTGGAGGACTGGATCTAGTGCCTGAATGGACCAATGATTTCCTGATATCCAACAGGGTGAAAGCCCTGAAACACTCAGTTGGCAACCATCACTCTCTCATTTCCTCAACAACCTCCAAACAATCTTCTGACTGACATACATTCTCTAACAACCTCTACTGAAATCTCCATCTCAACAGACATTAGTCAACAATTATCCATAATCTGGTGCCCTCTCATTTCTTTTTACTCACAAACAACTGTCTCAAATATCTCGCTGCTGTGCTGTGTAATCACTTAATCCCTCTATGCCTTCCGTTATTGAAGGGGGAGAGCATACAACTGTTGGGAGAGGAAGAAAACTTGGAGATGGATCTGAAGCTATGAACAACTTGACCACAATGAGGGAGAAAGTTGTGGCTACCAGCCAGTTGTCAGTTCAGGTTATTGCTGATAGAGGAATAGGGTAGACCCTGAAGCCTAACATGATACTGCTACTTATCTCGATCAATGGGGTGAGTTTTATAACTCCTAGTGCACGTACTTTCAGCAGCTGGTCCATGTAAAATGCCTCAGATGACAAGCCACCTTCCTGACCGTTCCATGCAGACCCCTATAATACGCCAAATGGGTGGGTACTGAAGCAGCAGCCCACCTGGCATGTTTAAATAAATAATTAATTAAAACTCAATTAGATTTGATAGCCAGCCTATTGACTGTGATGAGGAGCTGGAATAGACAGGTCGGAACAGGAAGGCCATTTTTTGGTCACTTAGATGAGAAAAGGTGGGAAGGAAGGCAGGACACCTCATTTGGAGCTTGCCCTGTGCACACAGAGGGTACAC